TTAATACAAATGCACTTGTACATCGTATACATAGCCTCAAATTTCTGCAGGAGGTGCTACAACTAAGAAATCAATAAGCCACTACATCAAGATTGGAGTTTGATTGTGCTCTATACTTAAGATAAAGATATTATCTACCTTTAAAAAAATGCAGGCTTCTAAAGATGGATTGTATTGTTGCTCTTTGAACCTTCAACCTTCTATAGATATTCCACCGCTCTTACTAGGTAGAGAAGATTTCTTCTTATGCCGAAAGAGTTGATAGTCCACCATTCAAATATTTGATCAATGATATTGATGTAGGCAAGGAATGGATCAAAACAAGTTGAGTTGAAAATTTTGTAAGTTCTACTTGAATCAGCTCATTAATGAGCCTCTTATTATGTTTCAAGCACATAAATGCTTTTCTCTACTAGATATCAGTTCATTAATGTCTAGTAGAGAGCCTTTTTAGCTCATAAATTGAGATTCATTCCCCCATTTATTGTCCCTTTGGTTCCCGTGGCTTAACCCTTTGGTTCCCGTGGATGTGCTGGTTGTTTCCCGTGCCATGGCTCCTTGGTTTCCGGTTGGCTGCTGGATTCCCGAGCTGGGTGGCCTTTCCGTGTCTTTTGGTGCCTCGGTTCTGTGCGGGCCTCTTTGGTTCCCGTGGCTGCTTCTTCGGTTCCCTAGCTGGGCTGTTTTCCGTGAAATGCTTGGGGGAATTCCATGACTTATGATGCTTGGGTTCTTGTGAAAATTCATTAAAGTAGCTGTTTGTATTCCTTCTTTTGTGCCTATAAATAGAGTTGTTTTGTGGCTGTTTTAGAATGTTATGTGAATGATTTTTGAAAATGTAAACCTGCGGGTTTTGTTGGAAAAGCTTGCGAGCTCTGTCCACTTCTTCTTCTCTTCTCCTCTAGGAAATCTTGCGAGCTCTTTCCACCCTTCTTCTCGGCTTCTAATCTCTTTCGTCTCTCCGCAAGTGACCACCTCACCTGTATCCCTCTTCTCAAAGTAAGCAAGTTTAGGGTGTCTTGTTAGAGTCTTTGTTTGTAAGTCGTTTAATTTTAAGAGTTGTAAGTCTTTATTTATAAAAGTGTTCGTTTATATGAAATGTAAAAGTTTGTTCTAAAATTTCTAAGTTATCTCTTCTTTTTTAGCATTTTGTGTCTTCTTTTATATAGGAAGCTGTTTGTGTTTTTGTGATAAAAAATTTGGGTCCCTCCCCAAATTTTTGATTGCATTAGATATATATATGAATTTTAAATTTATTAAAAGAAGTAGCTTGCATAGTCATCACTCGTTTTTATGAGATTATCTTATAATTAACAATAACATCATCATCATCATCAAGCCTTTATCCCACTACGTGGGGTCGGCTACATGAATCATTTTTCTCCATTGTGTCCTATTAAAAGTCAAATTCTCGTTTAAATCTAATATACAAAGGTCATTCCTAATATTTTCTAACCAAGTCTTTTTAGGTCTACCCCTACCTTTCTTAACATAAGTCAAAGTGACCAAACCATCTAAGGTGACTCTCTCTAATCTTATCTTCTACTGGAGCTACTCCAACCTTTTCATATATGCTCATTTCGTGTTCTATCTTTAAGGGTAAAGCCACTCATCCACCTGAGCATCCTCATCTCTGCCACACTTAACTTAGTATTATGCTTCTCTTTTAATGGCCAACATTCGGCACCATAAAGCATTGCAGGCCTCACTACCATCTTATAGAATTTTCCCTTAAGTTTGAGGGGTACATTTCTATCACATAACAAGCCCGATGCATTCCTCCACTTCAACCATCCAACTTGAATTCTACTGATAATATCCCCATCTATTTCACCATCACTCTGAACAATAGATCCAAGATATCTAAAACATGTACTCTTATTAATGACTTGATCGCCCAAAGTCACAATCCCATCACTAGGTCTATTACTACTAAAATTACACTCCATATATTCCGTTTTAGATCTACTAAAGCGAAAACCTTTAGACTCTAAGGTTGACCTCCATAATTCAAGTTTACCTTCAACTCCCTCTCTAGTCTTATCAACAAGAAGAATATCATCAGCAAAAAGCATACACCAAGGTACATCCTCTTGCAAATGTCTAGTGAGAACATCCAAGACTAAAGCAAAAAGATATGGGCTTAAGGCTGATCCTTGATGTAACCCAACCGAAATAAGGAAATACTTGGTCAAACCACCTTGTGTTTGAACACAAGTAATAGCTCATGCATACATATCTTTAATGATTTGAATATAAGCATTATTAACTCCTTTCTTTTCAAGAACTCTCCATAGCACTTCTCTTGGAACTTTATCATATGCTTTTTCTAAATCAATAAATATCATATGTAGATCCTCCTTATTTTCTCTATATTTATCCATCAAACCTCTGAATAAATGTATGGCTTCCATAGTCGACCTACCCGACATGAATCCAAAGTGATTTTGAGAAGCATCAATATCACGCGGTAGCATCCTAAGCATTTCCACACCTCTATTGGAATATCATCAGGTCCAACAGTTTTTTCACCCTTCATTTTCTTTAAAGCCTTTCTAACTTCAGTTTTACTAATACGCCGATAAAAACAGAAATCTTTACTTTCATTTAGGGTGCTAAGGTCACTATAGTCAATCTTATTTTCACACTCTTCATTAAAAAGTTTAGCAAAATATCTCATCCATCTTTGTTGAATATCATCTTCTAAGAAAAGTATTTTTTGATCTTCATCCTTAATACACTTCACTTGAACTAAATCCTTACTACTCCTATCTCTTTGTTTGGCTAACTTATACATATATCTTTCTCCCTCCTTAGTATTTAATCTATTATATAAATCGCTAAAAGCTAATGTCTTTGCATCGCATATTGCTTTCTTAGAATCCTTACGAGCCACTTTATATAATTCCCAATTATCAGAATTTTTAAAATTAAACCAATTTTTATAACAAATCTTCTTATTTTTAATCTTTTCTTGCACAATTGGATTCCACCACCAACTATTTTTACTATTAGGAGCTTTTCCCTTAGATACTCCAAGCACATCTTTTGCAATATTCTTAATATCACTAGCCACTTTTTCCCACATAATATTAGCATCCTCATGCACAGACAAAATCTTAAGATCTAAAATCTTACTCACAAAAATATTTTGGTTAATATTCTTTAAATGCCCCCATCTAATCCTAGAAAATTGTTTTACTTTATTTTTTATTTTATGCCCTTTTATCTTAAAGTCCAAAACTAATAATCGATGTTGGGTACATAAATTTTCACTCGGAATAACTTTACAATCTTTGCAATCTAAACGATTTAATTTTCTAATAAGAAAATAGTCAATCTGGGTTGTATTATATCCATTTTTATAAGTGATGAGATGCTCATTCCTTTTCTTAAATAAGGTATTAGCAATTGAAAAATCATAAGCTAAACAAAAATCTAATATGGTCTTGCCACCTTCATTCGTCGTTCCAAATCCATGGCCACCATGAATGCTTTTAAAATCAACTACCTCTTTACCAACATGTCCATTTAAATCTCCTCCAATAAAAACTCTTTCTTCAAGAGGTATATTTTGTATTAATTTTTCTAAGTCATTCCAAAAATTTAATTTAGAACTCATATCCAAACCTACTTGAGGAGCATAAGCACTTATAATATTAACAATCTTATTATCACCAACAATCTTTAAAGCTATAATTCTATCTCCAATCCTATTAATTTTTATAACATTATCCTTTAAACTCTTATCTATAATAACACCTACACCATTTCTAGTACGACTCCTACCCGAATACCAAAGTTTAAATCCTAAACTATCAATTCCTTAGCCTTCTCTCCAACACATTTAGTTTCATGAATGCACAAAATATTTAACTTCCTATAAATCATAATATCTATTAATTCTATTAATTTTCCTGTAAGGGAATCTATATTCCAAGTTCCTATCCTAATTTTAGTTTCATGGACTAGCTTCTTTGCCCACATCAGTCCTTGATGTCGGAACCCTTGCCTATTTAACACTGCACCCGGGTGCCGGTGCAGCGGCCCTTGCACACTTGTCACTGTATTCAGGCCATACAGCGCGTCGCTTCCAGGGGACGCCCTAGCATTAACACAATTTCTTAAAGGATTCATGTCATTATTGTTCGACAAGTTTTACACTGGCTGTCGACTACCTAATGCAACCATCCACTTTTCTCATCAAGGACTTGGGACCTGACAACGACAGTGTTATGAGATTTTAGTCTCTTCTGGATGCTTGAAATTAACCTTAGGGTAAATTTTGACTTTTAAATTTTAGCAATTTCTATAAATAAACCTTTATTTATAATAAAAAGCATAATATGATCAATGAAATATTGAGTTATGAATCTATGGAATTTTATTCTCTTCTGGATGCTTGAAATTTCACATCTCCTTTGTACTTATAGGATTCAACAACTTGCATTGAGAATTCAAAAACCTAACATCTTGATTATAAACTAACTTCAGAAATCGTTGTTTGGTATATATTTCAAGTGTTTTCTTCCTTATTTATATTGTCTCAGCAATTCCGGTGTACCTTGCTTCAGGGGAGTTGATTTTTTGGTTGCATGCAAACACCATCAGATGAATAGATAAAATAGATGAAAGAAGCACTTTCAACATACTTAAGGGAACAAAATGGAACAAAATAAAGAACAAGGACATCAATAAAATTTTCTTAACAAACGCATGCAAGAATAGCAAAGCTTTCAAATAAACTGTCAAATGATCAAATTTTGAATGCATTTTTTAAGACGTAATGGGTTCAAGAAATCAAACTACTGGAGTAGCTGAACCCATATTGGAAGTCAAACTCGCAATTCTTAAATAGTACAATTCTTTGTACCCAACCACACAATTAAAAGAAATTTTTATCTGCACATTTCTCAGAAAGAAATCTAACACATGCCAGAAAGAGCACAAAATATTCAGATTATGTTGGAAAAAGACTGCGCTGAATAAAACATTGTGCATACATTAGCTTCCTCTGAATGAAGGTTGAATTGAGGCTGAATTACATTCACCATAAAGTGGCGTGCCCCGTCCTCTTCAGAGTCACCAATACGTCCATGATTCACTATCACAAAAATGGATGAAGAATAAAACTTTGACCAAGATGGAAACGTGATATAAAAAACTACATTAGACGCAGCTTTAGAAAGTTAATAGAACTAATTAGAGCTTTCAGACAATTTCATGGGAGCAACTATCTTCAAAATATACCAATATTTATATTACATTTGAGAATAAATTTGTATACATGTCAAAACTTACCAACAGCGTTGGATGTTGTACAGTCCATTTTAGTAGAAACAGAAACAGAAGACAGTGAACTTAAGGCCTCAACATGCTGAGAGGGGGGAGAATTCGAACCATGGATTGCTGCCAATGGCCTAAGATTGTCATCTCCAGGAATTCCTGGCCCTTCATTTCTTTGCTGTTCCTCCAACAATTTCCTCTGTGCATACTGCCTGGAAGGAGATGGTTTATGTGGTTCGAATGCTTTCGATATGCCTCCAACCCACGACCAAACAGCATCTCTATTTTCAATAGTCCACAACAGCTTAAGACCATAAACAAATACCCGTCTACAATTGTCGGCAATTACAACATTGAATCCATCATCATCACTAGGATCAGACCGTGTATGGTCACTTTCACTCCCATTTTCAAACTCAGACCTCACGTAGGTCATCTCAAGATTTCTCCTACCAGCTTCTTGCCAAGCTAAAAGCCTAGCAGGATCAGCCTTTGGGGCCTGCCTACGAATAGTAAAATAATCAGAATATAAGAGAAAACCATCGTCACCATTTTTTCCACTGGAACCACTTGGATACATGAAATATTCATTACCAAAATTATCAGTTGAAAGTGCCAGTGAAGCTCCCTTTGTTGATTGAACATCTTGTTTATTGTTAGTACATAGAAATGCCTTGAGAAGATGTAAGTCAAGGCCCTGATATACAAGATCAAGAGGTTCGCGTTTACAGTGGAAAGTATACAACTGCTTGCCACGGCTATAGCAAAGTTCATACTTAAGCCTAGTCATTTCAAATGTAAGGCCACTAGCAGGATCATCTTCACTTAGGGGCATATATCTGATGCATGATGGTGTAGCATCGAGCCGGAGAAAAAATTCAGTCATAACCTTGTCCAGTGATAAGTTACCAGATCTGGCTGCTCTAGAAACGCGAAAGCGTGGCCACCGTGAAAAAGAACGTAGTTTATGAGGAGGAATATAGTTCAGGTTCCACCACTTGAACAACCAAGCCAAGTCATGAGCGCCTATGTTCATTGTTGGAGAATTAGCAGCAATGTTTTTCATCGTTTGTGAAGAATCATGCAAGGGTTCATCTGGTAATAGGCCATTGGCAACAGCAGAAGATGAGCTATGTTCATCATAACAATGCAGAGAGGGTCTGAGAGAAAAATTCCACCTTAGTGAAAGAGAGGTGGAACGAAATGGATCAAAAACTTTCTTTCGAGGTTCCCCTTCCTTTGGAAATGCATGCAAGTAATGATTAAGTGGGCAACCTGATTCGCAGCCCCAATCCATGGAAACATCAAGAGAAAAAGCGGGAGAACGGAGAAAAGGAACAGAAACACTGGGAAGCTTCAAACTGCAATTTTTTACAAGACTCTCAAGGCTACTCAAATAAATCTTGAAATCCTTTGCCAAAAAAAATAGATGGCCATCTGTCTGCTGGATCTCCATGTAAGCTGAAACAATTTTAAGCTCATCTAACTTCTCATAAGGATTTGTTGTTGCTAGCAGATTCCATCTGGTCTCCATGAAAAACAAGCAAATTCTCCCATGAATATAATACCGCATATCATCCCACCAAGGTAAACTTCGTTCTTTTTTGGGTGGATTACTTAAAGATACATTTTGATCCTTGGTGGTGGATGACCAACTCTTACTGCCAAGGTTGGCTCGGCGAAGAGCTACCGTAAATGCATAGCTGATATCAGCAAAACTTGGTTCATACCCCACCCCAAAGGAAAGTTCAGCTTTGTTAAAATATATCGGCAGGTCTGAGTACATTTTAATTGGAGGAGTTGTCCCACTGGCTGAACGGAGCATACGCACCTTCCACCATTTTCCAATGTAAACATCTTGTTCTACTTGAGGTTGGAAACTAGTAGCCTGAAATCAGGAGAAAAACATGCTGAATAACTAACAAGTATACTCCAGTTTAAAAAAAAAGTTGAATGCGGAATATCTGCCATATAAGAGTTAAAAGGCATCAAAGAAGTTCACTAATATAAGTACGAAAAAATATAGCTCACAAAAGTAATATCATGGTGCCCAATTAAAATAGATCATTATAACGGTAAAGAAAAACAAAGTAATATAACGAAACAGAATTAGAACTCCCCAACATTTCCCTTAAATTTACAAAAAATTATTTAATATACTGAAAACCAACCCTTTTTTGTCCTTGGAAATTTTGGCAAGAATAATAAATGATAGAATATGATCTATTAAACTTTATGATCTAGCATTGGAACTAGGTTAAAACCCTATGATATGTGGTGTAGTTCTGTTACAGTCCACTACCTTCTGATAGTCAATGAATGAAGCAATAAATACATGATCTATTTTAAAGCTAAGATAAGATCTTTGATGCGAAGAAATAAATAAAATAAGCAAATGAGTATTACACTAGGATTAGTCAACTCTACTGACACCTACACACGTGACTAGCATTGTGCATATAATGTTTGGTCATTTCACATTTCTTTTAAGAGTTTCCTTAAAAAAGATTAATTCACTTATTGTTATGCTACATTACTATTCAAGCTATTTCACTTATGAATGATTACAAGTAATGTCCTTAGACTAGTCTATGATTATATTTTTAAATTCTTATATCTAGTTCATGATTAGCATATCATATTGTTCTAATTCCTCAAATATTTCAATTTAGTACAAGAGTTATTTATATTACTGAGCTTTATAGCTCATCATATATTATTCTGGTTCTTGTTTTAGGCGAAGGGAAAGATAAGATTGAGCATGAGTCACGATAAGGCTTTGAATCGACTATCCCATGTTTTGATGCTAGTTTTGATGTAAGATAAGAAACATTATCAGGTAATGTATATAAACTCTGATGATTATTAGATGCTCTATAGTTGAATAAATAATATATTTTGGGACACTTCCATGCAAATTTTATTGTGTTAATTATTGATCCCTGTGAGTTAGGAATTGTCTGATATATTTTATTTGAATCATTCTTTACTTCTAAATTTAATAAGTCTACTTTGCTTGATAAATTGCTAGAATTGAAAGACTTTCAAATTCTCTTTCCCTTTGAATAAGAAAAATAAAATATAAATATTTAATGCCCAACAACAAATAACTTTTCAAGTCGAATGAATAAGGCATAAGGTGTGGCATAGAACAAATAATCCATAATTATTATGTAAGCTACCTTCATGAACTGACATTGAAATAGTATGCAACTAAAAAGGATGGCATCGATAAGTTTTTCCTAAATGTGCAAAAAACCACCCTGATGATGCTATATAATATCTTCTAGCAAATTGAAAGCCTTCATAAACTACATTTCCTTGCAAACAAAATAAGAAATAGGTTCACATTTGAGTTTCTCTTTCATAGAATATATATCAGCACCTCTATTGTTGTTCAATAGATTAATATGCTCTTCTTTTTCTTTCTCTTACTCATGGGCATCACTAAAAAATGCAGTAAACAATGATCAAGTTAATAAAATAATAAAATAAAATCTTAGATGATGAAATTCTTTGATAAACTTTTATTTGAAAAATCAGAATCACATTTTGCAAACGTATGCCTTGAGATTACAAAAGTAAGGAGCATACTACAGCAGAAGGGAAAAAAAATGAGAACAAGGCTATGGAGATAGTAGACCATTAACCACTTTATACATTATTGCCTAGAAACACTATATTTTGTTACAAATGGAAGAAGACGAATAAGAAAAAAACATAATCTTAGAAACTTATAATTAGATCTCAAAATAATTCTACATTGAGGTATAATAACATTTAATACCATGCAAGATTGTAAAACCTACGACATGACACGTAGTAAGCAAATTCTTTCTTTTTATCCGATGAGGCTGAAATCAGTTTTGCAGCATAGTTAAAGTTACAGAACAAAGCATGAAAATCTACCAAACATACTCTATTTAAGGAGTTTAAATAATTATGGTAATAGTGTAACTTTGGAGCATCAAACTAGATAACCAATCTAAACTAAACAGATGCAAACAAGCTGGTCCACAATATGTAACTCTTTTGACCAAAATAGTTAAAAAACTAATCTGTATCAGGTGGTCTACACTTCCGACAGGGAATAGGAAAAATAAACTAAGGTGCAACTCAAAAACATGAACATTAGATAATTGAATGATGCAAGCAAACACAAAGCTATTTAATCAATATGATATGCATTATTTGCCAGAAATTTTTTTTTTTTTTTTGCATTATTTGCCAGAATAAGTTAAAAAAAAGTTGGAATATGTAACATGTATATACACATCATTTCAACCAATTTATTGCAATGACTTCGGAAAAAAATAGACCTGAACAGAATCACAATACAACATTCAGTTTATTCACGAACAATTTTTTTCAGCATTGGTTAAAATATTTTAGAATTCATTTTGGCAGGTTCAGTTCATGAATTTGGCAAGAATTGAACCTAACTGAATCCACAGCAACCCCAATTCACCAAAATGGTGAGAAATTATTTCTATCCTTGCACCATGTCCAGTGTCATTCTTAGAGTTAGGTTTCTTCTGATGAGAATCATGTGAGAATTTCAAACCCATTCAGAAGCATTGCATCTTAGAAAAAAAATTTATAATACTGATTAAGAAGACAACAATTGTCAAAATCAGATGTTATTTCAATATCATCAATTTATATGCATGTCTAATGTATATGAGCTTAGATATGCATGAGCCTGGTGTATGAATCCACATTGCATTTCCGTAGGATTAAATGTATTTGCCTTTGCAGGTGTGCAGCTTGGTTGTGCATCAATAATTTAGCATATTCTAAAGCTCACAAAGGAAATTCAGCATTACATTATTCACTATTTCCCAGAAACAAGATATCATAATTGAACTCTTATTCTTGCAAATTCTCAATAAAAAAATGGCAAAGCCAACTAATAGAAAAGATTAACTTTAAAAAAGGATTGATGAGGACATCGAAGATCAACGGCTACGATCGTGTTTACTTATCTTGATGTATTTTATTTGCTATTTGTACTTTTCCCTTTCTACCCTCACTTGAGGGTTTTGTCTTATGTGGCCCTAGGGGCAATTATGTCTTTTATTTTTCCTTCATGTAATTGGCTATTTAAGCCTTCCCCTTCCTCTTGGAAAGGGGGATGATTATTGATAATGAAAAGTTTCATGTTTTTGTTGATCTCTTAGTGAGTTCATGAGAGGAGAAGCCCGAGGAGGGTAATTCGCAATACCCGCCAATCTTTGGAAGAGTCCGAGATTCGCGGTTCTTACGATTTCTTTGTGAGTTCGTTAGTTATCTCTATATTTCTCGTATATTCTTGTTCTTCTCTTTTCTCCCCTCTTCATCCACAAAGTATTCCCCTAGCTCCATTGCCGCCGCCCCTTGGAGTCCACCCGCCGGCCACCCTCACGGCTCCGGCCGGCCACTTTGCCGGCAACCTCCCCAACCGTCCACTCCCTCCCGCATGCTCCAAATTTGAAATTTGAATTTCGAATTTCGAATTCTTTCCTAATTTGGAAATCCAATTTAGGAAAGTTTTATTTGATAAATTCCAATTTCAAATTAAATTAAATTGGAGTTCTCATAACTTACCTCCACGTCATCACCCACCTTGTTCTTCAAATTTCGAAAATTCAAATTTGAATGAGCTCCAAAATTTCCATAATTGCCAAAGTCCAAATAAGGAAAGAATTGGGTTGAATCCAATTCAAATTTCATGGCATGAGGACAGCCCTCACGGCTCCCAAACCTAGCCGCCTCTCTTCAGGCTCCTCTACGATTTTCCCCTCTCCCCCAAATGTCTATTTGCTGTCCTGCACTAGAGGAAGGTTGAAACTATTGTTCTGAAGCCCCTTGCACCAGATTTCTTACCTTTGGAGAGCTCCTAACTGCTGTACAAGGATTACGGCAGCAAGACCTTGCTGTTCTGTAGACCAGACAGGTTTCCAAAGTCAAAACAATTGCTGCCCAAGGATTCCTGCAGTCCCGGAAAATCCCTGCAGCCACCAACTGCTGTCCACGTTTGTGAGGAAAGTTAATCTCGGCGAAGTGCGAGGAGGTTCGTGGTTGCTGCCCTCTTCATTCCCAACTACCATACTACCTTGCCGGAGCGCGTATCTCTCTTGCCTTTGGGTAAAATCGACACTCGACTCTCTATCTTCATAGTTGCATCCTTGAATGTGAATTTATTATCTTCACGAAGATCATGTCAATTATTCGCCGCTAGAACCTAGTAATAGGAAGAGTTGTGTGAGGGACTTTTCATAGACTAATCTTAGTGTTAGTATTGGAATTTATTGTTGGAATGAGCCATGTATGCAATGTCGGATTAAGTTGGCTATCGTTTTGAACTTAACTTTTATTCATGTAATTTAACTTAAGCTAAGTGACTTTTAATATTTATCTTATCGTTCAATTCCGCATAAGAACTTGCCTATTATGGCCTCTAAATCTAAGCGTGCAAACTTTCATTAAGAAAATCATTTCCGCATGGGATTGTTTCACATCAAGGATACAAATGAATAGAACAGGAATTTAAAAAAAAAATCTCTTCAGACACCAAGATGAAGCAGTACAATGCATTGCAGCTGAAAAGTAATAAAAACGATGATAAGTGAAAACTACACTGATCAATAAAGTCGGAGAACAAAACTCGTTGAGCCTACCTGCTGAGCAAGCACAATGCGACCTTTACATTTTCCAGCAGTTGCAGAAAAGAGGGGAAATGTGTAATTTCTTAGTTGGACAACTAAAGATCCTGTAGTTAAATCAACATCTCTTCCATATGTCCGAGAAAAAGGTATGTCATTGTCTAAGCTGACTGGATCCATCTTTTTTATGAATTCAACCATTGCAACGTCCCCTCCAACAACTTTGGTCAAAGTTACATCTAACTCCGTAGCACAGAGAGATAGTAGTGATTCTCTGTTCTTGCTTGTCTTAAAACCAGATTGAAAGCCCTCTGTGCATGCTCCTGACCCTTCCGAGGGTACTAATTTCTTGCATGCTCTATAATAAGATCGAAATGCCTGCTTTTGAATATCTTCATATAAGTCTTTAATGGCCAAGTCATTTGATTTATCAATCTCAACTCCATCATGGAAAAGCTTCTTTTCAGAACAAAATTCCTTGTTTTCAGAAACTCCAGAATTGGTTCCCATGTCAAGAATGTCATCAAGAAACTTACCTCTGACAGCTGCCTCACAAATCTCAGTCTTCATCAGCTGATAGTGTTCATCGAGCCATCCTTGTATAGGTTCTTCCTCAATATCTGCAGTTAGCTTGCGAATGATAAATCTAGCAGTACCAAAATTTGCAGGCTTGGACTTAGGCTTCCTGTAATTGTCTTTTTTCACATGCATGAGACTAGCCTTGGCATTAGCGATTAATTTCAAGCCACGCACCATATCCTCCACTGCATCCTCAATAGCACGTAACTGCAGCCTGTAAGGCATGCAAATATGAAGATCAGGACCTTGAATCACCCAATCCCATGTAGTAGTATCCCATGAAGAGGTCAACTGTACTTTAGCATCTGCCAAATTACCTGATGCAGAAACTGGAATGCGAGAAATCTGCATTCTGCTGCTTTTGAGAACATTAGCATTATTAAAACTTAGAACAAGCTCTTCAAGTAACACACCGATCCTTGCATTCTCTGAAAAAATAGACTGCACGTGAATAACTGCTTCAACACCATCTGCAATCTCAGCAGTTAATTTCAGCTTCTCCACATCAATGGCAAAGACTGCCTCCCTTTTAGCATGATTCTTATAGGATTTTGCCTGTACCGAAACAATTTCTTTTTCAGCTTCCTTGTCTTTTAGGATATCGAGTTCTTCCTTGACTCCATCACAAGAACCATGATTCCTTATTTTATGTAAAAAGCATTTCACAGCAGTCATAAATTCAAAAGCTGCCAAATGTACATCAGGTTCCCACCTAATTGAAATATCAGTCACATTGAGAAGTGAGCAGACAGCAACTTCACTGAGGCCACCAGAGCGTCGGACAAATTTTGCATGTTGCACATCAAATATAGTAACTTTAGAACCATACATATGGTCATTGTAACTTTCCTGATAAATAGACCTAGTTCTCTCAAGATCAATCTGCAGAGAACGTCTTTCCTTATTTAAGCAAACACTAACGTGAGAGATGCTTAGAGATGTGCAAAATTTCAATTTCTTGCAGCCACTTGTAGTATTTGAAATGATGCTTGCCCTGCGAGTAGTACCATCCGCAGAGACATTGATCATAACAACACCACCTTGTGAACCAAAATTCACACGCTTGGGGTCCGCAATGACCATATCATCCATATTTACTTCACCACAATATTTAATATTACATTTTTCAAGGTTTAGTTTTAAGATTCGACTCCCATTTGCAGAATTTTTTCTTGAATGCCCAGCCTTATCATGTAAATCTCGTTTACGAAAAATAGGTAAACTTTTGAGGAATGACTGAAAGGAGGACAAAGTCAACAGTAGAGATTCAATATGACTAAAGCCAAAATATAACCCCATGCCAGTTATATCAATAGCAAAAACTAATTTCAACCGGTTAGAATCTTGGTCTTCATGTGCTTCCATCTCCCGAAGTCCCCAATCTAAACCAACCCTTGCCATATGCAGTAAAGATCCAAAATTAGCTTCCGAATCAAATAAATCTAGCTTTAGACATTTCTGATATTCATCTGCCATATAGAAATGTACTTCACCGAGTTCTGCATGAACTTGAACTCCCTTGCTTGCTATATTGTTTGCAAACAGATGAGACGATTGTGCGCACCCCTACATTAAAAGACAACTGTAAGAGCAAATCACATCAGCTTCGCCAACTCTTGTGCAAAACAACATGCAGTCGAAAGTATTAGATAGTTTCGAGTAAATTCTCAAATAACATATATCTGTAGTAATGACTGACATTGGATAGTAGCAATAGGTCCAATAAAGGTACAAAAAAACCAAAACAGCCGTTAAAATGCTTAAAAACAACCAATATGCCATAATTTTTTTCTTCTGATAAATTATATGAATAGTACTAAAGTGGCTGTGTTTCAGGTTTGGGGTTAGGTGTTTGATGTTGTTAGCTTCAATATTTGTACCACCAAATTCTGAATCATAATGTCACGATCTAAAGTCTAAACCAGTTGACCTCCTCTGTGATCTTAAAAAGGCTACCACTGCAGAGTGCAGACTAGCATGTCAACGCTAATACGAAGCCCTCAACTTCACTATAGGATATGGAGGACAAAAATTTGCCACACAAGAAAGAAACAAAATTTGCGGAGGAAATTCGATATCAAAATATATATATATATATATATATATATATATGCGCGCACACATATATGTCCCCACCCACAAAGAAAAATAAAATAAATCCCCCCTCTTCCCTTCTCTTTCCCTCAAGCCGTCCTTTCCTAGGCCCAGCCCAAGCTCCCTCCATTTAATTGACTACTTATCCCACTCTTCCTCACAAATTGTTTTGTTTGCTTGCTCAAAACATCTCACAATGACAAGAAGGAGACTTCGAGCACATCACGTGCAACCGAATAGCGGCATTTTATGTGAAGGGAAGCACATTTTCAAGTATATTTTAGGTGATTTCATGCACAAAATGCTTCATACAAAAGTCCCCAAGCACCGTTATTGGTGTGGTTGAACATATATCATAGGCCATGATGTTTGGTGCAATACACCTAAAACACTTTTGATTGCATGGTGAGATGACCAACATTTATCACCTCTCGCTTGGCTGGCATAGAAATTTTATTTAAGTTTTAGAAAAGATACAGCATAGGAAATGAAAATGATAAGACAATCATGAAAATAATTTTTTGAAAACAAACATGACGAGGAAATACATCAAAAATTGTACAAGCAAAAGAAAATAAATAATAACAATAATACTTTTTTTATGACAGAATTTAAAAGAACTCATCCTCAATGGGAACGTGGACTTATGCATAACTGGAAGACAAAAGCAAGCAAATGTTATTTCAAAAAGCATGCAATGCACTCATTTTGATTAGATGATCATTGCTAACAAATTGCTTGAACTGTGAACTAGAAACGACTCCAGAATTGAATGCGTAAGTCTTCAAATAGAATTGTTGATGCATAATAAGTCACATTGTGTTTTCACATTTTTCGATGTAAATGCAATGCAAATTCACCTACTTTGAAAGATGTGAATATTTATCTCCAATTCAAATATTTGCTAATGTTGGTTCAGACAAGCTTTGTAGTCACGCATGGAACTCACAAGGTAGTCCAAAATGAGAACTGAATTTTTTTTAAGCACAAAATAATTAAAAAAATTAGGAAAATAATAAATTCTGAAAAAGAACAAGATGCAAAATACCCTCTAAAAAACAAATGTAGAGAACTAAAAAATACAAAATCCAGAAAATTAAAAAAAAAAATCCAAGATTATTTTAGAAGACATGTTTCATACATTGAACCTTCTTAGGACTATACTTCAAAGCGCTATTAAGCACTATTTTCTCACATGGTACAAATCATGCAAATGCCTAACATTCCAAAAAATATAAAGAATGTGATACAAATAACAAAAGAAATATGGTGCCCATCTATGCCTGATCCTCCGCATGTAAGGGGTGGAGTAGATAAGGTTTGTGTTTCAAAAATTATCCAAATTACAAAAGAATAATTGTAATTCCCCAGCCATAAGTTTAGCCAATTATTTATATGATGAACTAAGGATCAGTAGTTCAATTGTGGGTCTTGCCAACAATTTTATGGTAAAGCATTTGCATAACGCTTTCAAGCTAAAAATCCACCCAAACAAGAAAATTCTACAGTTTCCCTACCTACTGATAGAGTCACAATTCTTAACCTGTCAACCTCTCCATCATCGAAGTTACAAGTCCCGTTTAAGGCCCAATCTTCTGCATGTTGAAGAACAATAAATAGTGCCAATAGCTCAATAATCATTTATAGTCCCTTATAAAAGAGAACTAGTGTAGACAGAATTAAGCGATGTCATAGTACGCTACATGCAAAAGGTAGTGTTAATACAATCCATATGCTGGCAATTTTCAAAGCCTGATCCTCTAAACATGGGTGACAGAGTTGACACGATCAAACACATGAAGAAGAAGAAACCAACATATGTGCAAACTAAGCATGTCAACAATGCCCTCGAGCCAAATTAAAATGATGGGGCAAACATCAAAGATCGCTGACACTACTAGAAGAACAATTATAAATACAATGCAAGAATACAAAGAAGATTTCCGACACCATTGTTAGCAATTGATGCATCGATTTGTGCATAAACATTTTTAGCCATCAAGTTCAAATTGAGATGAACAAATCTAGTTCTCTGAGCTAATTCTCTGAGTAAACCATTTCCACTCAGCTGTCGATCCAACATAAGGTAGCCAAGACAATCTGCTCAGAAATGGAGATGATATACACAATTTTGACAAATTATAACTATAAGAGTTCACATATGATAAATCTAGCAAGAAACTAGAGACTCCAAGTCTTTGAAGATGACCAAAATTATATGAAAATCAATCATGTCGACGCAAATTTAAAAAGATTGAAATGCAAAGCTCTCGAAGATTCGTCTCATTAGTTAATCAAAAACATCATAGACAGCCAAAAAATAGAAATTCCAAAGTTCGCAAAGTGTAAGCAAGTCAAGCTAGGAAAGTCAAAAAGTAGTAGTTCACTAGCCTAAGGTCTAGTAAGATAAAGATGGTCAGACTTCTAGGGTATTGGCAATCTTCCTTGCAAATAATCTAAAAGACTATGTAGAGCAAACCCCCACTCAATACGTCTGATAGTCAAGCTCATGTTCAAAAAAATTTATCCAGTTTAACAAGCTTCGACAATGCAAACCAAAGAAGAATTTCAAGTGGTTCAAAAAGCTTATAATTGAAACGAAGATATCCACCTAATAGGATTTCAAATAAAAACTTGAAATTCATACCCCAATGATGGAATTGGTTGTTAGATATCATAATCAGAGGGGTATACACTTAATACCATGCTCTCAATCACAAAGAAAAACATTTTGAGCATTGTATCCTATGATGGGTTCAATTAACTCCAATCATAACCAGAAAAGATCCAATCATAAAAATGCACCAAAAATAAAATATATTTCAGGTTTTTTTCCAACGATGGAAGAATCATGAATAGAGAGAATTCTTTCTAAGCCGATTCTCCCATTAAAAACTAGACAAAAAAAGTAAATATTAAATATAAAAAACAAAAAATGAGGAAATAAATGTCAATTATGCTCATAGAGCTATCCATCCATCCTTCATAATAGTTTGCTAAAAAGAAAAAATTTAAGCAAGCTCATAGCTCTCAAAGAGCAAATTTCATATCAAATATATTTATATGATCATATTCAAAAATCTCATATTAATAAGAACATGGCAAGTGCCCCCTAAGTAGGTGGTTTAGCTTAACTGTGATAGCGTCATTATATTATAGTTATAGCCTAAGCTCAGATGTTTGCCTAAAACTAAGCATGTGAGTTGTGAGCCAAGATGCAAGCCCATTGAGGAAATGTCAATTTAAAATTGGTTGGCAAGCTTTTTCCCCTTATGTCTACCGAGTTCCTTTGGATAACTTTACACATTGTTGGTGATGAGAATCCTTCGGGGTGGTACAAAAATCTTTGTTCACTGAGTATATTAGGGTATTTATTAGGTTGGTTGTCATTTCCCCACTCTGTTGTAAGCTAATAACAATATATTTTTTCCTAAATCAAATTTTTTGCTAATAAAGCAAAGTCTTAAAGAGATGATAGACTAACCTTATGTAAAATCCATGGCTACATTACATAGTCCATCTGCAATGACCGGAGGTGAACCTGGTAAAAAAATAAATTTATCTAAGTGCTTATGAACTACTGTGAATTTGATTTATGTAGAAAAATGTATAGCTAGAAAATTTCCCAAGAGTACGGTGATGTTGAGAGGGGAGTGTTGCACCGTTAAACTCTTTATCAGGGTGAATAAAATTAAGGTCATAGGGGCACTGCAGCACTGAGGGAGCGGCGTTGTGATACTAACTTCTGTCTGTTGAAGAGTGCTTTGAGGCGCTGCAGTGCTAAGGACTGGTTATGAGGAATTTTCCAAAAACAAAAAACCCTTGGGAGCACAGCGACGCTATGGAAGTCAGTGCTATGGCGTTAGGTCAATTTTGAGATTTTGATATAAATATCTAAAATTATTAACCCATTTCCCATTCTTCATTTCCATTCACTAGAAACATTTGGAGTGGTGTTAGAGAGGAGAAAGAGGAAAGAGAAAAAGAAGCTATGGTTTGGAGGTTCCAGAGCCAGATTTTTACCTTAGGCCAGTTGGAAAAATTATTCTTCTTGAGGTAGGCTTTTATTACCCTACTTTAGTTTTTAATTTGGGTCAATCGGGTAAAATTTATAGGTTTTATTTGATTAAATTAAGGTTAAAAAACTTTCCATCATATAACTTTTGATATGTTGCAAAGAAGATGATTCTGAGCATTTTTTCAAGAAAAAATCAAAGTATCACCACATGATTTTAACTATATGGTTTTTTGTGCTATGCAACTTATGTTGATTTAGCAGAAAGTGTCATAGAAAAATAAAAGTCCCAAAATAATATTATAAATATTCCCCATGAACAAGTTTATAAATTATTACTGGTGAGCATGTATAAGTTTTACCCCATACATACTACTGGAATTGTCATACATATGCTACTTTCATGCATTCATGCATTATGTTAAATGTCATTTATACATGTTGAATATATCGATGTTTCTAGGTTCATGTGATGAAATGTACATGTCAAGTTTATGTGGTGGAGGATATGTAGGGAGAAAATAAGTGATATAAATGGCGATTGATTCATGTTTTGTGCAATACAAGTGGTTATAAGGTTGACAAGATGGAAATTAATGTTATGAAATGCTTATAACCAGTATGAAATTTTATTGTGTTTTAACTTAATTGTTAATAATGTTATTATTATTTCTTATTCATGGTTTGTGTATTCACGGAGCTTAGCTCATTAGCATTAGTTGTACTGCAGGAAAGGGGAAGGAGCCAATAGGGCAATAGGCATAAGGGAAGGACGGTTCTTTTGGTGTATATACTTTTTGGGTGTGCATAGAGGTTAAAGTGGTAGTTGTACAAAGAATTTTGTGTATGTAAGTAAATTCTAAAAAGTTTTAGTCGAGCTCTGTATTTACTTTAATTATCTTTGATGTAAATTGGAATACATTACATGCTTCCTATGATTAAGCATGGAGTTGATAGGTTGACATACTAGGAGTCTAAATAAGTTTCTTTTTACTCACTTGATTCTTAAGGTAGTGACTCGGAATGGGTGTTAGTAAGAAGGAGCCGGTTCAAATTTTCCTTCTCTGTTGTACTCCAGATTTGCTGTTAGAGGGTGGGCCAATTTGGGGTGTTACATCGACGCTCCTGGAGGGTTCGAAGGTTTCGACGCTCACTGCTGCCTATAATGCATTCATTATGTGAAAGTCGAAGGTTCTGTATTAATTTTTTATTCCAATTATACCCACGCGGCATGCTTGGGACATCTGAATTTTATGTTAAAAATTAACAAAAGGACCAAAAGGGTTTCATTTTAAAGAGTTGAGAGATCAAATTGATCCCTCAAAAGAATTGAGGATCATTTTGATCACTCATAAAGAATTAAGGGATCATTTTGATCATTTTCACTATTAAAATATAATCACAATTAATAATTATGTGTAGTGCGGCAATCATGTTACAAATAGAATATTGTATAATTACCACCTTATTTTAACTGAACTATTAAAATTTCTATTTATATCTTATGCAATTTATTTTAATTACAAATATTGAATTCTTTAGTAGACTCGAGTACCTGACTGAGCAAGTGGCTGGCTCACCCTACATATGCAAATGTTATTTCAAGGAAAGAAAAAGTCCCAGCTAAGTAGAGAAAGGTGTCGAAGGTCAAAAGTCCAGGTCATAGTTATGCTCCTAATTTAGAGTTATCTTTTATAATCCAGCCATTTATGTATATAAGTTGATATGAAGAAAATATTATATTGGATTATCATATATGACTCTTTTGACGAAATATGAATTGTTATATTTTTTGGGATTGGATGTTTTAGTTGGTTATGGGTTTACTTATTGATGAAGAGTTGAATATGATTAGGAAAAATTCTTTCAATTAGATCTTAAGGCATGACACCTTAATCAGAAATTCTCTCTAGCAATCGAATGATAATTAATCATAGGACTTGTGCCTATGATAGATCTCAAAGCATGTCATAAAGTCCTCTATAAGGGTGTAATTCTAGGTAGTGTCTTGTACTATAACAACAACAACAACAAGCCTTTATCCCACTAAATGGTGTCAGCTACATAAATCATTTTTCTCCACTATGTCATATTAAGAGTCAAATTCTCATTTAAATCTAATAAAAAAAATCATTTTTAATGCTTCATAACCAAGTCTTTTCAGGTCTACATCAACCTTTCTTAATATAGGCCGACTCTTAAAACATCTACTCTCCTGACAGAATTGTTAGAAAGCCGACGTTTTATGTGATCAAACCATCTAAGGCAGCTTTCTCTAATCTTATCTGCCAGACTGCCACTGGAGCTACTTCAACTTTTTCATGCATATAGTTGCATCACATTCTATCTCTAAGTGTAAATTCACTCATCCACCTAAGCATCCTCATCTCTGCAACACTTAATTTTATGTCTCTTTTAATGGACAATATTATGTGCTACAAAGTTTGGCAAGTCTCACCATCATTTTATAAAATTTTCCCTTAAGTTTGAGAGGGTACTTTTCTATCACATAACTACTCGATGCATTCCTCCACTTCAATCATCCAACTTGAATTCTACAAATAATATCCCTATTTTATCATAGTTTTGAACAATAAACCCGAGATATCTAAAACTGCACTATGTTTAGTGACTTGATCACCCAAAAATATCACAACCTCACCACTAGATCTATTTATACTAAAATTACTCTCCATGCATTCATTTTTAAATAATGTCTTGTCTAATATCCAATATATCTTATGAAAAAATCAAACCAAAATAATTTGAATATGATCGAACTCAGTGAGAATTTTGAAGCCCAAACATGACAGCATGTTTGGTCTAGAGTTTTTATCCCCACTTTCTTATTTTGTTGTTTCCGATGTTATCTTTCACATCCGTCTCCATCTTCCACGATGTTATATTCCCCTTCCTTCTCCATCTAAATTTCTTCCATCGCATCTTAATCACCTGCACAAATCCAGAACTGCTATACATTGTCCAGTGCTCACGTTACTGCCAGTATTGAATAAGGTTAAGACTTTACAGAGAGGAGAAGGGAGGAACTGAGGAGAAAGAATAAGATGGTACTGAGAATAAAAGATTTTAAACATTCAATAGTTGGAAATAAGTGGTATCATTTGATCAAAACAAGCCTTATCAGCAATGCAAATTAACCACTTAACCAGAAGAAATTATGAAAATAAATCCTGAAAAAAGGTCCACTAATATAAAGTGATATTGAATAAACTTAGTGGTGAGCACTCGTTATAGAAACAACAAAAGAATGTCTATATGAAGTAACACAACATAACTTACATAATAGAGCGGTACATCATTCAGACTGTAAAGCACAACAGTCATCTCTGGTGCAGAAACAGTAAATGTCCACATTATAGCAGCATTTTTATTTGTCTGACACTTCTCCTGTTCATCATGAATAAACCTTTCTTTCTTTCTTGATAAATCAAGACTAAGCCAAGGCGTCAATCTGTTCACAATAAGATTGCACTGGGTCCCACCAAGCTTAACATCGATCTCAGATCTAATTGGTTGAGTTAGCTGCAAGCACGAGAATAAATAATAATCTCTAACAGAAAAAGATTAGAAGGATTATCAATGACACTTGCAGAAAATTCAACTATACAAGATACATAAGACAACAAACATAATTTAACACATATGACAACAAATTGTTGACAACATGCTTTAGAAATATCATTAGAATTATGAACAATGGCAAAGCTTACGCATTTAGAGAAAAAGTGAAGAAACGAATTAAAAGAGTAAAAACTACTGGAACATCTTAATTAATTGCTACAGGAATCATAGCAATTAAAAAGACTCCAGCTATTAACCTCATCTTGATTAATACGCTAATGCAAATTTTACACTGTGATCAAGACTAGCATTAAGTTCATGTGCTTATTTCACATGCCATAGTTTCACTGCGCTTTTATTTGATGCTTCAAAGTCTTCATAAGAATTCTTGAGCTATTTAATAAATTAACCTTGTTTCACTTTCCAGCTACGTAAGATGTGAGAGCAAGGGATCGCCATGAAACACACACCACCATTAAAAGGTTTTTATCATTCCAGTGTAGTGACAAGAGTTGAAACAACTTCAACAATAAGCAAAAGCCTGTGACTTGAGAACCTAGTGTAGGCTGCTCTTTACTGGATCAAGTTGGTGAGTGGGAATGTAAACACAAAAATTTAGAAATGCAAGGTAACAACAAAATATAAAAACCATCACCAACAGATGATACACATAGCACTATCGATGCCGAACTTTTAACAACCTTTCCTTCAGCTCCACAGAGAAGGTTATGGAATCGAATTGAACCTGCTTATGTATTTTCAAATGTTTTCTATTATATATGCGGACCAAGGAATTATAAGAATATATATATATATATATATATATATATATATATATAAATAACAAGAACATGTTAAATCTATTTTACCTTTGTTCCTTCCCACCTCTTCACATAAAATGTGTACCGATTATTATTCTTCCTTTTCTATGAAATCCACAGTATATTATATATTTCAACTATTTCATCCTCATTAGACGTAATTCCTACATCTCATCAAATAATCTTATTCCTCACATCACCTTTCAAGTTCTACCACAAACGAAAATTAGCATTCTTATCTCTCATATGATCAACTTTTTTTGGCTCTTCTATTTTTCTGACAACCAAGATTGATACAAAAAGCTCTTATGGTCATTTTAGAAGTTTGAGAGGCCATGATAGCTACTTCAAGTAAAAGTAGAAGTCATTTAGCATCAAGTCAGTTTTTACCTCTTTTTAACCTCTTAATTATTTACCTTTTCAGAATATCTTAGCATACTTTGACCTCAACGGCACAAACATCAGCATCCAACTGCCCTGACACAGTGGATGGCTCAGATGGGATTTTTTTGTAGTAGAATAGAGGCAGGCTGCACGTATTAATAACAAAACCATGCAAGCAAATAACTTCATGTCTAAAGATGCTCATATAAGGGAAATTGTATGTCAATGCTTTTTGAAAGCGGCACCCAAACTGTACGCATGATGGCAAGTTTCAGTATCTTATTAGTGACCAAAGAGCATACTTGCATTGGAGCATCCACCGAAGCAGTGAGAACAACTTTCAGAATCTCCAAGATAGAACTGTCATCTTCTTTGAGGATCTGGAAAAACGACAAAAACATCATAAAGGACCCAAGGGGCAACCAAGGAATATATTGAAATAAACATACATGAATTTCAGTCATATCAGTTTGAATATCAAGGTGAGATGTTATATCCCCAGAATCCTCAAACACCTGAGATCTGTTACTTCTCAGATGGATGCCCATAACATTACTCTCAGAAAGAAGCCTTTGACCCCGATGCATGAATCTCAAGTTAAGCTTGGGCAACCTGAAATTAACCTTCCAAAGATAACATCCCTTGTAAGTGAATATCAATTAGGTTAGTGAGCAAACTATCCATAAGAGCATCGTTCTCATGGGGATAATAATTACTAGAAATGGGATATACACGAAGTGTTTAACAAGAAGAAAACTATCAATATGTTTGTAAACTTAAATTAAAACTACAAAACAGAAGCACGGAACATAATGAAAACCAGATATCACAACAAAAGTAACTAAATATGAAATCCCAAACAGTAGAAGAAATAAGCATGAGCGAAATGTATCTTAGGAATGAAGTACGACAATCAATATCTCTATGGTGTTCAGATGGAGAAAGGGAAGTGCTTAGGAGTAAATATCAGCAGAAAGAGAAGAAAGGAACTCCAGGATAAAGAAGAGGGAAGGAAGAAGCTACGTGTGCCTCACACAGAAAGGTATCAACAGTATCACACAACTTTATGAATAACTCAGAAGAAGGAAGCATCAAACAACCGCCGTATGCCTATTTTAAATTCTACAGGTAGGAGAAATAAGTTTACATTCACCAAATCTGAGATTCAAATAAAATAAAGGTCTATTTATAATAATAGATGTACATCCAAATGACAATACTAAACTTCAAGAGATTTTTTTTACTGAAGGACTCAAAAAAAAAACTTACATGAGGACAAACAGAGTGGCTTCCATTGTTCTTGGTTGTTTGTTGGATGTCAATATCCTCTTTAGCTTCCATCTCCAGTATCATCGGATTTCGATGTTGGGCATACGGATACTTCAAGAGCTAAGTTTAAGAAAGTTATATACTAGCCTATTGAGAGTCACTCAATTACTCTTACTCTTTCTTATCCAAATGATGGGTTTTGAACTCCACGTACATTCCACTTGGGCAATTTGAGGAGAACGAAGACCATTGGCAGACAAATATGTTGCTCATAACGAAAATTGGAGCACCTCAAACATTGTCGAAACCACTCAAACTTTGTCCAACTGCGAAATGTGCCGCATCGATGCATTCAAAATATCTACCTTACCAAAGAGGAGCCGCTCGTGCAGAAAATCGACTTGACCAAGTGACGAGCACGACAGTTGGCAAGCACTACGCAGCACAAAACTACTCAAATGACTTCCGATCATTAAACAGATAGTGACGATGCATCTGAAACATCAAAATTATCCAGGGAAGATCTCTCGCAATTAATTTGAAATGGCCTATGAATGCAATGTTGTGTGACGTCGCCCGAACAACGTCCATTCATAAAACATAATTCGTAATTGCACCCGGGAGTCTAAAATATCTGGAATTGACTGTAACATCGCTTGGGTTGTCGCACGAGTGAAATTCTCACATAAGTCGAGGAGATAAAGTCCTAAAAATGAGACGCACGAGGAAGAAGGAAAAATATGCTGGCAATCAATTTATAATTTTCTTTCTTATTTTAATTAGTGAATGAGTGGCTTTACTCTTAGAGACTGGATACAAAATGAGCATATACATGAAACGGTTGGATTTGGAGTAGCCCCAGTGGAAGATAAGATTAGAGAGAGTCGCCTTAGATGATTTGATCACATAAAACGATGGCCTTCTGATGATCCGGTTAGGAAAGTAGATTTATTAGATTTGGCTTATGTTAAGAAAGGTAGAGGTAAACCTAAAAAGACTTGGTTAGAAAATATTAGAAATGACCTTTCTTTACTAGATGTAAATGAGACTTTATGATGAGGACATCGACAGACGCTACAGACATGTTTATCGCCGGCGAAACCGCAGATCGACGGCCATGATTCAGCGTCTCTACTTTTGATATAGATGTTATGATTATTGTCTTAGTTTATTTTCTGTTTTTCGCATTTTACCCTTGTGGGGAGTTATCTGTCTTGTAGCCCTTGAGGGCATTTGAGTCCTTTTACTTTATGTCTTTGTTAGAGGCTATATATAGCCTTCATATTGTAATTTTGATGCTTAATGAATATTTTGAATGAAAATTACTTTTGGTTTCTACTTCTTCTTGCATGAGGGCTTGAGAAGGGAGAGAGCTCAAGGGGAGCAAAGCGCAAGGCCCACCAGTTGTTGGAAGAGTCCGCAACTCGTGGTTAATCTAGTTATCTTCTTGTTCCTACTCCCTACCATCTTCTCCATCTCCACCACTAGCATCCCAAACTCCGCCAAAGAAACCTCACCCAACCCGTCGGCCACCATCTTCCCCCTCCACTAGCCGCCGGCCACCCATCATCCTCCCCTTGGAGATGTCATCTCTTCCCCTTTGTGATTCCTTGATTGTTGCCTAGCAATCAATAAGGGAGTTACTACATTTTGAATTTCAAATTTTGAAATTCAAAAACTTTCCTTATTTGACATCTTCCCAAAAGGGAAAGTTTTGAAGTTGATTCATTTCAAATTTCTTCTCATGAGGAGTTACGAAATTTCCATCCTAGGTGGCAATAACCTATTTGGAAAGTGAGCAATTGCTTCCTCACCTCCTTCCCCTCTCTCCTAGCCGCCGGCCCCATCAAAGGGGGAATCCCATTCAAGGCTAGTTAATGACAATAAAGGCTCTTTGATTCAAATTTCAAATCCAATTTAACTCCCTCCAAATTTAACTAAAATCTGAAATTAACTTCAGATTTTTGTAACCTCTCCCCTCTCTCATCCATGCCGCCGGCCACCAAAAGGGGGAATCCCTTTTAATGCATTTAATGCAATCATTACACCCGTTTCAAAATCCAAATTCAAAATATTCTCCCTCCAAATTTAATTAAATCTGAAATTAAATTCAGATTTTGATTAAAACTTCCCCACACCTCCTCATCACCTAATCTCCTAACCCTAGCCGCATCCTTCCTCCTCTTGGCCGAGACCCTCCCTCTCCCTGGAGATCCCGCCGTCTACCCCTCCTCTCCTTGAAGAAATCTCCACGCCAAGCATGCATGGCGGATCCGGAGCTTGAGTGGGGTATAGTTTTCCAAGCCGACGGAAGCGTCGACATCCTATGGTCACCTTGCTTCGACGTAGGGTTTGAAGACGAAACTACCGTGGAGGAGTACGTGGATAGAGTCGTGCCAATCCTTGCAAGCATCTACGACCGAAGGCTTTCGAAGCACACTTGGAGCCTCAACGGTCGTCTACGACTTCCATCCCAACCGGCAACTTTTCCTTCGACGAAGTTCTTTGGCGCCCTCTCCCTAGTGGTAACTTCTTTCATCTCTTGGATCTTCTATCTCCGTCAAAAGTCCACTACCTCTTGAGTGATACGGCCCCAAGGTGAACTTCTCATTGCTAAATGTTGGGTTTTGTTGTTGTACTTTGCATATTAAATTCGCCTAGAACTTTGAAAGAATCGTTTTGGTTAATCTTGTTTGCAACTCTTTCGCCTAAGCAAAGTTAACGTTTCGACATCTTAACTCAATCTTGCATGATCCCATAAAATTATAAAAGCAAACTTTAACAATTCTTTTTTTAATTTTGAACGTAACTCCTAGTAGTTTTACATCACTTTAACTCTTAACAAGACACAATGGAGAAAAATGATTCATGTATCCAACCCCACATGGTGGGATAAAAGCTTGATGTTATTATTGTTGTATCTTATTTTAATTAATAATAATAAAAAAATAATTCAAATTATGCATAATAAAAAAGTCTACCCCATCTCAAATCCTGACCAAATCAACTGCCAAATCCTGCGCTCTTTGGAATTCAACGTGGAGTTCAGCTGCTCACACCATATCTTGTCATTCATGGGGAAATCCAGAACAAAAATCCTGCTTCCTCTTCTCTGCCCGCCCTATCTTCTCTCCATCTCTGTTTCATGCAAAGAAACCCAGCCCACTCCTCTCCTCCAGAACAGCTTCCATCTTCCTCAATTGCACAAACAGCCCTCATACACTCGCCTTCCCACCACAATGCCACAATAGCGTCACTCTGACGCACATAGCTCCAGCCTCCCTCTCACTAGCCCCAGTTTGCTGCTCCCACTCCCGAACTCCATTCACTCAAGCTCCCTCACCACTTCACACCACCAAATACAGACCCTCTGCCTCTCGGTCCCTACACTTCACCAAATACAGCCCTTCACACCTGCATCTTCCTCCAAAAGAAACTCCTCTCAAGTGCTACTCCTCTTCCTGCTCCAACTCCCTATAACCAGCTGTTGCTCCTTCATAGGCAGCCAATACAAATCCAGCCCCTTTCTTCCCACCTCCCAGCTTCCAACACAACCGAACTCCTCTACACATCCCCAATACTCGCAGCAAATCTGCACTTCCCAAACCAAACAGCCCTCAACACCTATTGCCGTCCATGGCCTCAAGCTCCACCTCTCATCCAAATCTCCAGCAACCACTTCCCAGCTCCCGTTAACCCCTCTCCACCTACCTACCCGAACACCCAACCTATTCCCACAAGCCCAACATCACCAAACCGCAAACAAGAAACCTGTAGCCCACTATCCTCTCACCTCTTTGAATAAATCCCTCTCATATAAATCACCCAATAATCTACTCCTCTCTAACTCCTTCAGCAAACCCTTCCTCAAACCCATTACCCAACCTTCCTCCTTCCAGCAGCCCATACCCGAATCATCTGAAACCAACCCCTATGAACTCGAAACCACTAACCACCTCTCTCTTATTCTCTCCTTAACAGAGAGTACACACTCTCTTATTTCCCCACTATAATTACTATTAGCATTATTATTAGTTTTAAAAAGTAGGGAAAAAAAAAAGAAAGAATATCAGAAAAGATCAAAAAAAAGAGGGAGTAATTTTTTTTTAAAAAAAAGAAAGAGAAATTGTGGATGTCCTCATTACCACCTTGTCGTCATAGTTGTTGCTGTGCGCTAGCCGCTAGGTATAAATTTCAAACTCAATTTAAGTATATGTTCGCATATTTCCAGCGCAGCGGAAAAATATGCAAAATATAAGCACCAATTCACGTTGTTTCAACGTGACGGGAAACCTACAAATAGAAATACCCGTTTGTGTAGTTCTGGCCGTGGTGTCACCTGACACTAACCATA